CTAGCGGTTTATCTGGGATGCTTTGCGCATCTTCATAGCTTTGTTACCTAGGCAGGACAAAACACAAAAATCTGGTTCAGCTGGTATTATCTACTCTGGGAATCGGCAAGTTGAGGAAAAGCTGTGCGGCACCACCGTCTCACTGGTCCACATGCTAAGTGGCACACCCTAGTCTTTGACAATCAGAGATCTTTCCAACAGTAAACCAGTCTAGCTGTCGCTCTGCCTTGCACAGCATAGTCAGTTGTTTGTACCTTCCACTTCCTGGCACTTAACCAATTCCTGATCCACAAGAGGACCCCCTCCTCTTATTCCATGAGCACTCAGCTCTTTGGCAAGGTCCAAGTACCCTCTGTGAACTGAATCAGCTCTATCTATATGCTTGTGGACACTCCCAAAGAACTCCAATAGGTTTGTGATACACTTGCCCTGGCAGAAGCCATGTTGGTTCTGCTTCAGCAAGTCTTTTTCTTCTATATGTTTGGTTATTTTATCTTTAACAATACTTTATACCAGTTTTCCTGGGACAGGTGTTAAACTAGCTGGTCCGTAATTTTCAGGATTCCACACAGACACACCATTTTTGAAAACTGGCGTTACATTGCCTGCTTTCAAGTCCTCTGGTATGGCGACTGAACTGAGCAACTTACATATTTTTGTTAGAAGACCACCAATTTCACATCTGATATCTTTTAGAATTCTTGGGTGGATGTATCTGGGCCTGGGAATCTGTCCTTTTTTATTTTGTCTATAATTAGGCTATTGGCCTATGCGAACTCGCCTTGGGAGGCTGACAGTTTTAAGATTAATTTCAAGTTACCGTCACATGTCTCGAAGCCACTATAATTTTGAATCCTGTTCTCTCACATATACAGTGGTACCTCTGGAAGTGAACGGGATCCAATCCGGAGCCCCGTTCACATCCTGAAGCGAACACAACCCACGTCTGCGCGTCGCAACTCTCTGCTTCCGCGCATGCGTGTGACATCATTTTGAGCGTCTGAGCATGCGGCAAAACCCAGAAGTAATGCGTTCCGTTACTTCCAGGTCGCCGCAGAGTGCAAGCCGAAAATGCTCAACCCGAAGCTACTTCAACCTGAGGTATGACTGTACATAGGTCATGTAAATGTTGTAATAAAGCCATAAACACGAGTTAAAAGCCAAAACTGTTTGGAGCAGCAATTTAAACAGGTTTCAAAAGCTTACATGCAAAAGAAATTCCCACATTTAAAACCAATAAGGCACCTAGACTACCAACAACATTACTTTAAGTCTTCTGATATAAGCTTTACCATATCTGGGTCATTCCCCAAATCACCTGGTGCTATGTGCTCTCACGTCTGATTTTGTTCAAAAAAATTTGTGTGTGTATACCAATGAGATAACCTCAAATTAATTTTTTGGTCCAAAATTGGGGTCAGGAGAAATTTTCTTAAATCTCAATTTTCGCACGATTTAGGCTAATGCAATTTCTGCGTCAGTTTAGAAAAAACCTCCTGCTCCGCTTATTTTTCAACCAATTGGGCTTATTTCGGTATCAAAATAAAGCTAATTCTTGTGTCTTTCAAAATAAGGTATAAAAATGGTATTAAGTGTCACCGACCATTCAAAGTGAATTTTAGTCATTTTCTACCTTGGTAGGTTCGATAAGCCATATCGCGCAAACCACAACTAACACGTATCATACTTTTTTTGTAGAATGGGCTAACCATGAACTTGTTATGTTTTAAAAGAAGCGTGTTTTTTGTTGTTATAAAATATTTAAAAATTAAGTTTTTTCACTTATTGTAGTAAGGGAACTGCCAGAAGGCCCTTGGTGCTGGACCTCCATGTCCAGGCTGAACGATGGGGGTGGAGACGCTCCTTCAGGTATACTGGGCTGAGGCCGTTTAGGGCTTTGAAGGTCAGCACCAACACTTTGAGTTGTGCTCGAAAACGTCCTGGGAGCCAATACAGGTCTTTCAGGACTGCTGTTATATGGTCTCTGCCACATTCTGGATTAATTGTAGTTTCCAGGTCACCTTCAAAGGTAGCCCCACGTACAGTGCATTGCAGTACCCCAAATAATGTTTCAAGAACATCAGATGACATTGTAGCATAAGAGGGTACAATTTTAACTATTCTCATGAATATGTGAGTTATTTCAGGCCCAATTTTGGACGAAAAAATCTTTAAAAATTAAATTGAGGTTATCTCATAGGTATGTACAGACAAAAAATTTTGAACAAAACTCTGAGACATGAGAGCACGGTTGAGTATTAAAATCAGGTGATTTGGTGTGGAATGACCCATCTGTTATTTAAATTTGGCCTGTCACAAAATAAAACTTAAATTACATGCAAAGCACTGTAATTCAGTAATGACAGTAATCTCTCCATTTTAATAGATTTATCCCTGGCACCACCACACCATTAACTTTGAAAAGACAACACAGCAGAAGTCATTCACTCTGGAAGTAGGTTTTTGAACACCAAATTTAGATGTTGTGCATATCCTTTGAACTTTAACTCGAATTCCATGCACGGGGCGGTACCCAGTACTTTAAACTTAGGAAGTGAATCAGAGTCCCCTACTGAAAGTCAGATAATTTAGTCATATATATGCAACTGATTTAGACTATTTTAACTAACAAGTGTTGATGGAGAGAGAAAAATATGATACAGCTGAATACTATATTTGCAATGGGGCCCCGCATTCTGAGAGCTGCAAAAAACTTTCAAATCGCTCTGCTTTGCTCTTTGAGCCTCCATAAACCTGCCCGCTAGCAAAAGCCTTTCACACAGATCATGCTGAACTTTGACATTCCGACAACCAGGGCTTCAAAGTGCAGCATCACCCAATGTCATTATGTCAGGTGATTGACAGGTGGGTGGCCTGCCTACCTGTCAAGTTTGGCCTGAAAGGGGTGGGGAGATAATGAAAAGATTCCCCACCTTAGGGTTAAAGCATACCTGTCCGACCTGAATTAGATCTGATTACAACTCTCCAATCTTACCTAAAACCTCAATCCATGTATCTGGCTCTCCCATTCTCTTCTCTCAGTTCACAGCTGTCACAGAACTAATGTATTCATCTTTCTGAACTCCACCTATCATAGGAACATTAACTTACGAAACCAACTGAACACAGCAGTTTAGTTTGCACGTCATGGTAAACAACAAACCCACGATTTGCTCCTACAAACCACAATCTCCAGTTTAGTCTAAACCAAGGATCATCAGTCTCAACAGACTGATCTGTAGCCAAAGTTTGTTCTTGGCTTATTGATCACCGTTTGTAGGAGCAAAAACAAAACTATGATCCCTGGTTATTACTGACTTATTTATTAGTCGCCTCATGTGATAAGCTGCTAGGCAACATACCGCAAAATAAGAAACGCACACACCAAAATACAAACAGTTCATAATACAGTTCAAACTGTAGTTTTTAAAAAATCAAACCAGAATAATAATATAAAACTAGGGGCGGGGGAACCAACCATGCCATCTAAAAACTACATCACTAATCAGATTAAACAAACTAAAATCAGATGCTAAAACATCACTTAAACATATTAAATAGATGTTTAAAAGGCCTGGAAGGAAAGGAAGGTCTGCAGTCACAATCTGCACTGCTAAACCAGAGATTGTGATTTGTTTCCTCCCGAAGTAAGCCAGTTGGAACAAACTGGGTGCAATTCATTTGCGCGTGGTATGGCTTACTATCATGTATATAGCTAGCAAGGCTTGCTTACAAGTTAGTATGCACAGAGAATAGCTGCACCTGTCAACTTCCAGAGACTTCTTTAATCAGTGTCGTCTTCACTGCAGCCTTGGAGACAACTGCTGTACTAATGTTGGAGCCATAGTACGGGGTCAGCCAGCATGTCCAATGGTCAGGGCGGCCAGGTGTTGTAGTCCAGAAGCATCTAGAAGGCAATAGGTTCCCCAACCCGGCTTTACATCCTCCTCTCATAGTTACTGCACTCTCCATCCTGAAATCCTCTTGTGCTTTTCACTTATTTGAGATTTGTCAGACGTTTTAAACCACTCTCTCCTCTCTAACTTTTCTTTCTAAAGCACTCATTGATTTTCTAAAGCTTCTCTTCCTTCCATGCAGTATCTTCCAGTACTGATCTCTTTGGGATTGCTCTGATCCCTTCTTGACAATCAGACCTTTTCCTGTTGGCTGCGCGTTTCCTTAGAGCAGCACAAATGTCCTACATAGCTGTCTTTGTTTAATACATCATCATCCTTGAGGAAAACACGTGGATCAGATATTCTTTTGACTTTTCAACACCAGATAAAGTTACATTTCACTTAGTTAAAAAACCCACCCCCCAAAAAACTCTCCTCACCCCTAAGAATCCTCCCCGCAGGCAAACTTTTTAACACCTGCCAAAGACTATGACACACACAAGTATTCAAATATACTTACTTCAAGGGAAGTAATAGTGCCACTGTATTCTGCTCTGGTCAGACCTCACCTGGAGTACTGTGTCCAGTTCTGGGCACCAAGTTCAAGAAGGACACTGACAAACTGGAACGTGCCCAGAGGAGGGCAACCAAAATGGTCAAAGGCCTGGAAACGATGCCTTATGAGGAACGGCTAAGGGAGCTGGGCATGTTTAGCCTGGAGAAGAGGAGGTTAAGGGGTGATATGCTAGCCATGTTCAAATATATAAAGGGATGTCACATAGAGGAGGGAGAAAGGTGGTTTTCTGCTGCTCCAGAGAAGCGGACATGGAGCAATGGATCCAAACTACAAGAAAGAAGATTCCACCTAAACATTAGGAAGAACTTCCTGACAGTAAGAGCTGTTTGACAGTGGAATTTGCTGCCAAGGAGTGTGGTGGAGTCTCCTTCTTTGGAGGTCTTTAAGCAGAGGCTTGACAACCATATGTCAGGAGTGCTCTGATGGTGTTTCCTGCTTGGCAGGGGGTTGGACTCGATGGCCCTTGTGGTCTATTCCAACTCCATGATTCTACTTATTTCTCCCACATTCAAACATAACAGGAGAACTGCACTTTATAATTGCTTTATTTTCTGCTTATTAGTTCTTTTACCAACACTACAACCATATTGCGAACACAAAAAATCCTGTTTACTTTATTCAGGGAGATCACAGTCTACAGACTCATTCACTTATCAGACAAAGTTAACGCCATTCAAAAACGGATTCAGTTGCACTTTATAGAGTCACATGAACACAGAAGTTGGATGTACTGAACCTTTTCCCCCAAAGAAGTTGAATTCTAAGATTGCATTTTATCTTGCAAGCTGCAGATAAATCTCCAAAGTCATCAATTTTTATGGCTACCTTTGAGCCAGAGAGAAACACAAAACGTTGTTTCTTTGAAAGAGACACTTAAAATGAAACTTTACTAATTTTTGTTCAGTATCAAAAGTTATTTGATGCATTTGTCACACATTTTTCAACTTCATCTTTCCCACCAAAGACTGGCAATTTAAAGGGGAAAACAAAACCAGAATTAATATTTATCTTTTTTTACCTACAAAACTGGCACACTTGGAGGAACAAAATTGACATACCAAGTAACGATTTCAAATTAATGTATAAGTTATATGACAATTTGATTCTGTCTTGGTGAGAGAAAAGATACAATAAACCCTTCACCAAAGGTAAAACCACCCATGTTTTTACTGCAGTTAAGATTTATATGAAAGTTTGAGAACTAGTAACAGATCTTCAAGTTTTCCAGTTTAGGCAACTACTTTGTGCTTGGCTTTAGTTATTCCAGAAGACGACACTTAACTGTTTTGTGGACTTTTTGTTTGCATTACCACTCTTGCCAATGCTGCCAGGAAGAAAGATTCTAAATTTAGTTTTATCGCAACCAGAATGTAGCATTTTTGTTCGATTCTCTCACAAATTTGTTGCTTTAGTAGAACTTTTTGTGAACCACTGCCGTTTTTCCGATGAAATTTTTGTTCTGATCCTAAAAATTATTTTGTGTGAATAATCCGCATCCAATTTGGAGGAAGTAAAAAATCCAAATAACTATGATATAAGTTTATTCAGGATCAGAGCTCAAGTTTTTTTCTGTTAATGATGCTAAGCATTCAGTTCTAAGAAATTAATTTCTCATTACTTTATCCCCCTCAAACATCTTTGGTACAAGCTCTAGAGTCCACAATTTAAGTAGCAAAATCAACACTGAAGAAGTGTAGTGTAATGCCCCAATTTTATTTCAAACTCATACCCTTTAACAAAAGCAATTTTCTTCTGGTTTTGTAGCAATACATTCCTAAAATTCCTCAGATGAGTTTTACTCCTTGAGGAAATCTGAAATTAATCCTTAAGGCTGAATAGGAACCAGCTGCTTTACATTTTTTGCACCTAGTATTAATACTTGATTGAAACCATTTTTATGCTAACCTGAATTCACAATCATTTTCCCCCATACAACTAATCAGACATTTGAAAGCTGCGATATGACAAATGAGATGCTTGCCCTTGAAGAACGGAACGTGGAAGTTTACATTCATAGTCGTTTGCTCACTCTCCACCTGAATCATTGCTGCCCTTCCAAAGGGCTTTATACATCCAAAGGAGATCAAATAAAGGTACTACCAGAACATTGTCTGTCACTGCCTGCGTGAATTCAGTATGGTTTTGTAACAGATGAAAGGGAAGCAACTTCCAAAGACACTCATTTGTTCCATTTAATTAGTAGTATCTGCAAAACCAAGTTGCCACATCCTTCCTTCATATTAGTACATCTCAATAAATTCTTAAGAGTGACTTATTCAAATCATAGTATAGATGCAGATGCAGGCTACCCCCCCACCCCCCTCAAGTTAATAAAGATGCATCTTAGAAGCCAAGCTAAAAGGTCTACAAATAATCTACTTAAGTTTTTAGAAGCTTTTAGACCAATTGTGATGCTGCCACCTTTGTCTCAATTATTAAGACAGGAAGAGTTTTTAACATTCAAGTTTTGACTACAAGTTTATGATATTTTTTGTTTAAAGTAATGTGTACATCACACATTATTCTTACGAATTATTGCTGCACTTTATGGAATGAAAGCATATTTGCACTGAAACTGGAAAGTAATGCAACTACTTCATGTTGCAGCAGAAAAATTAACTTTACAATGCAAAGTACAGGAACTGCGGTTTGACACTAGTCTCGTTTCATCCTGCATACGGTTGCTATTTAGAATGGAAACTTATTTGCATCCTTAATCATGCATTATATTTGGTTCATAACCTCCTGCAGCTAACATTTTGAAGTGGTTCTTGAATTACCCGGCCATCACTGGGCCCAGTAAGCAACCATACATTTATTCTAAATGCTACCCTTCCGATTTGTCAAAAGGCCAGATAAAGGAGATGAAAATTTTAGTTTCTGGTTACAGGTAAGCTCTCACCATAAAAAGGACAGACTGCAGTTTGTTCATAAGCAATGGTTTTCAGTTTACTAGATAACAAGAGACCTATCAACATATTCTGCATGGTTGCAAAAGGAAGCAAATCTACAGCAGATGATAATGGAGAGGAGGGGGTCAGGGGGAACTAAATCAGAAAGCATACATTTAAAAAGGTGATGCCTTAGCCCCAAGACTCAAAACAAATGAAGTCAAATCATCCTAACCAAGGGCTCTCATAGTATGAGAAAAGTTGCTTTGCAAAGCTATGTGTCTCCTTCTCCCCTCCCCCCCCATGTCGCTGGAAGCTTGCCATATAAACTAGTGCTTGTGTTCATTCACAGTTGAAGATTAGAGCATCTTAACACCAAGCAAGAATTGTATTAAACTGGGGATCCAGTCAAGTATGTGGAAGAAAAGGGTGGTAACTGGCGAAGAGGTGAGCAATCATTGTAATCCTATGGATGCTTAATTTCAGAACATTTTAGTATGGAGGATCATTCTTTCTCGGGAAGCAAGTATTTCTTTCCCCGCTAAACTCTCTTGAAGACTAGTAATAGTTTGTCTTTTTTTTTTTAATTTTTAATGATCATTAGGATTTATAGTTAGATGTTAACCATGTCAGCCCTTCGTAGAGTCCGTCTCCCGAGGTGGCACAGGACGGCTGAACATACCAATTCCTATCCCTGATTCGGGTCAGGCCTAGTTTCTCTTGGATCTCGTGCGGCTTCATGGCGTCAGGAAGGTCCTGCTTGTTGGCAAAGATAAGGATGATGGCATCCCGCATCTCCCGGTCGTTGATGATGCGGTGCAACTCCTGCCGGGCCTCGTCTATGCGGTCCCGGTCAGCGCAGTCCACCACAAAGATCAGGCCCTGGGTGCCCGTGTAGTAGTGCCGCCAGAGCGGCCGGATCTTATCCTGGCCCCCGACGTCCCACACGTTAAACTTGACGTTTTTGTAAGTCACGGTCTCCACGTTGAAGCCCACGGTGGGGATGGTGGTGACCGCCTGGCCCAGCTTGAGTTTGTACAGGATGGTGGTCTTGCCCGCCGCGTCCAGTCCCAGCATCAGGATCCGCATCTCCTTGTTGCCAAAGATCTTGGACAGCACCTTGCCCATGATGGCGGCTGGGGGGAGGCAGGCATCCACGGGGGGAGAAGGGGGGCAGAGAGTTGGGGGGTGGGTGGGGGGAGAAGAAGAGGAGCAGGGAAGGGGCTGTTGCTGCACCCGCCAAGTAATCCACACGGGTGGCGGTGGTTGTGGGGGGGGGCCCACACCTGGACAGGGGAAAGGCCAGAGGTTTACTGGTCTCTATGGCGCCCAAGAACTTGAGGAAGGGGCTTTGGGGGAGGAGGGAAGAAGAGGAATAATGCAGCCCCCACTTATATGCACCAAGAGAAGGAAGAAGGGGGGGGGAGATGCTTGACTTGAGACGAAGAGGGGCGAGGAGGAGGCGTGGCCTCGCGGGCGAGGGGCGTGGCTTGGCGCGAGAGGGCGGGGCTCGCGAGGTCTCCTCGCCCGTCAGTCAGAGCAGGCCCGGGAGCCTCCCCGCGCTCTGCTGGGCTCTCCCGGGCGACGCTTCGGAGCTCTGAGGAGAAAAGAGAAGGGGGAGAGGAGGAGGAGGAGAGTCAGTCGGAGGCTCCGTCAGGGGCGGCGTGAGGGGGAGGGAGAAGGGAAGCCGTTGCCGCCGCCGCCGCCCGCACTTACCTCAGGGGGCGCCGGCTCTCCCTCAGCGCCAGCGAGCTGGGCCGTCCGCCGGCCGGCCGGCCTTTCCGGGTGGGAGAAGGGGCCCTCCTGCCCAGCCGGCCCGCCTCGCTTCTTCTTCCCTCACAAACTCCCTTGCCTGGCTTCGCTGGCTCGAGGCGGCCGGCGGCGACGCGCATGCGCGCAGCTCGCTCCCTCGCCCGACCGACTTGCGAAAGGGAAGCGGCCCCGCCTATAAGACGGGGGAGGGGCGAGAGGGCGGGGAAGCGCGCGCGCAGTTTAAACCCGGAATGCGCACGCGCAGAGTCAGGGCGGGAAACGAAGCCTTTGCGCATGCTCAGTGGGTCGCCCGCTCCCTTCACAGGGAGCCTCGACGGGCAGTTCTGTTCCTTCCACCATTAAGCTCGGCGTTTAAACGCCGCGCCTTTTCCCTTCCCCGAGTGCCGAGATAGAAAGAGAGGGGGAAATAACACCTCAGGTTGTCCCCTCTCGAACGGGCATATGCGCATGCGCGGTTCCACTTCGCGCAGCCGCATTTCCAGCCGCCAATCCCGGAAGAGAAACCCCCACGGGGAGAATTTACCTCAAGTGCCCGGCCGAAGACCGCGCAGGCGTGGTGGCCTTCTCACCTAACGTGGCCTCTCTCTACTGCGCATGATCCGGAGAAACGGTCTCAGAGACGGAACTGCGCACGCGCAACGTGTCATCCCCATGAGCCGAGAACGCGCGATCTACGTCAGTTGCTGCGCCACTCGGCCTCGCGTCTCCTTAAAGGGCCACGCACGTGGATGGGAGCCGAGATAAAATAGCAATAATTGACATGTTGGCGAACTCTTGTTAAGCGCTCCCTTGCCTGAAGGGAAGATATGTAATAGAGGGAGAAGAGGAATGAAGACCACGCCCTCTCCTGAATTGCAGCTGATCTCATGCAAAGCTTATCTGTCCTGTCCAATTTCTTAAAAGAGCTCAGGTGACTTTTTCACCTCCTTCTCTCCTCAAGTCTCAGCTCTTGTAAGGCCCATCATAATAAAGTTAAAGGGACCCCTGACCATTAGGTCCAGTCATGTCTGACTCTGGGGTTGCGGCGCTCATCTCGCTTTATTGGCCAAGGGAGCCGGCGTACAGCTTCTGGGTCACGTGGCCAGCATGACTAAGCCGCTTCTGGCAAACCAGAGCAGTGCATGGAAACGCCGTTTACCTTTCCCGCCAGAGTGGTACCTATTTATCTACTTGCACTTTGACGTGCTTTTGAACTGCTAGGTTGGCAGGAGCAGGGACCGAGCAACGGGAGCTCACCCCGTCGTGGGGATTTAAACTGCCGACCTTCTGATTGGCAAGTCCCAGGCTCTGTGGTTTGACCCACAGCGTCACCCCATCATATTATAATATGATAAAAAGGACTTAATATTTATTGCATTCATTGCTTGCTACATAAAATGTCTCAGAGCAACTCCAAATTGTAAGAACATACAGAGCCATAGCTGTCAACCTTCCCTTTTTTTGCGGGAAATTCCCTTATTCCAGCGCCGTTTCCCGCTGCTTCCTGCTGCTATCCCGGATTGTTAGATATCCCGTAGACTGTCTCTGGGACAGGAGAGGCTGCTGCTCCCTCATTTTCGAGGCTGCTGATCCCTTATTTTCAAATCTGAAAGTTGACAGCTATGTGCAGAACACAAAATATAAAATAACGAAAAGCAGAGAACATTGTTAACCCAAAGTGCTCAACCTGCAATATTATGATGGCCTAGATGAAGGTCCACCTTGCCAACAAAGGTCCGTATAGTTCAAGCTGTGGTTTTCCAGTAGTGATGTATGGAAGTGAGAGCTGGACCATAAAGAAGGCTGATCGCCGAAGAATGGATGCTTTTGAATTATGGTGGTGGAGGAGACTCTTGAGAGTCCCATAGACTGCAAGAAGATCCAACCTCTCCATTCTGAAGGAAATCAGCCCTGAGTGCTCCCTGGAAGGACAGATCCTGAAGCTGAGGCTCCAAGACTTTGGCCACCTCATGAGAAGAGAAGACTCTCTGGAAAAGACCCTTGATGTTGGGAAAGATGGAGGGCACAAGGAGAAGGGGACGACAGAGGACGAGATGGTGGGACAGTGTTCTCGAAGCTGCCAGCATGAGTTTGACCAAACTGCGGGAGGCAGTGGAAGACAGGAGTGCCTGGTGTGCTCTGGTCCATGGGGTCACGAAGAGTTGGACACGACTAAACGACTAAACAACAACAACAAGAAGATGAAGGTCCACCAGGCCTGTGTGTTGAGCAAGCTGCTTTATGGAAGTGTGCTGTGCGCAACTTACAACTGTCAGGAGCGATGCACAGCAGGACTGTGTCTCAAAGATATGTTCTCCCAAGCCCACATTCCCAGCAATGTCTACACTGGCTTGGTCATGTCCACAAAAGGGAAGATGGCAGGATCCCCAAGGATGTGCTCTGTGGGGAGTTGGCTTCAGGGACCAGATACAACTGAATTATAAGACGTGAAGGCTGACGATATCAACCCCACTGTGTGGGAATCCCTTGCAGATGACCGCAATACCTGTAGATGGATAGCCAGGTTCCACAGTAATGACCAGAGGAGGAAGGACTGCTTGGAGGAGCTTCCAATCAAGTGTTAAAAACAATACAGCATTAAATATTAAAAACTTCCCTAAACAGGGCTGCCTTCAGATGTCTTTCAAAAAAAAGATAGCTGCTTATTTCCTTCACATCTGCTGGGAGGGCGTTCCACAGGGCGGGCGTCACTACCAAGAAGGCCCTCTGTCTGGTTCCCTGTAACCTCACTTCTCGCAATGAGGGAACCGCCAGAAGGCCCTCGGAGCTGGACCTCAGTGTCCGGGCAGAATGATGGGGGTGGAGACGCTCCTTCAGGTATACAGGACCGAGGCCGTTTAGGACTTTAAAGGTCAGCACCAACATTTTGAATTGTGCTCGGAAACGTACTGATTCATGTCATGATTCATCTGTAGTAGCACAACCGGATGCCTTCATCAGCCTTCAGCTGCAACAAAACATGATTCACCCCCAAAGGCGCACTCCTCCATTGTCTCCCAACAATGGTCCCACTTTGGCCTGATCCTGCCAGGCTTTTTCTTATGTTCTGCCTATTCTCACAGCAGGTCATTTACACACAGTCTCTAACCATCATGATATAGGCAGGACTGTGGTGGTGTCCTGGGCATCAGCTGTGGGCATCTAAGCAGTTTGGGGAGACACAGCCCACGTAGGTGGGTTTTCTGAACAGAAAAAAAAGAGTATTTCTCATTATTTTAAGAATGTGATAGGAGCCTCCTGGATGAGGCCGAGGGCCCATCTAGTCCAGCATCCTGTTCTCACAGTGGCCAACCAAATGCTTGTGGGAAACCAGCAATCAGGAGTCGACCACAAGAGCCCTCTTCCCACCTGTGGTTTCATAGAATCATAGATGTGTAGAGCTGCAAGGGACCCATGGGTCTTCTGGTCCAATCCCATGTGATGCAGGAAACTCAACTAAAGCGTCTCTGACAGATGGCTATCCAACCTCTGCTTAAAAGCCTCCAATGAAAGAGTCCACAACTTCCTGAGGAAGCCCGTTCCACTGTCAAGCAGCTCCTACTGTCTGAAAGTTACTCATTTGAGAATACAGTATTGATTCAGTGTTTTGATCTTTGCTGCCATCTTCTGGATGACGGACACACAGGAAGCAAACAAGGAGCCCTGGTGTGGTGGCTCTTGCCTGTAATCCCAGCTCCTTGGGGGAACTGAGCCTGGAAGGCTGCTCTAGCTTCAGAGTTCTAGGCTGCTGCTATGGACTACAGTATGTTGTTGAATGAGTGCATTGCTAAGGTCAGCATCAATACAATGGTCCTCAGTGCGTCAAGATCCAACAGGATGCTGAATTCGCCCAGATCAAAGCCACCATCCTGAGCATCCTCTCTTCTCAATTCTGAAAATAAAATTAAAATGCACATGTCTCTGAACTTGTGCAAAGTGCCTGTTATCCCTGGAAACCATACTCCTCCTTGCAATAATAATAATAGTAATAATAGTAATAATAATAAATTTTATTTATATCCCGCCCTCCCCAGCCAAAGCCGGCCTCAGAGCGGCTAGCAACAGTAAAATGATAAAACATTCTAAAATCATTTCATTATAAAATTAATTCTAATCAGATTAATGGCAACCATTGGGCTAGAGTTTGTTGGAATCTTAAGCCTTGTCAGAGGAATTGGCCACTCTCCAGGCACCCGGCTTGAGTTCCTTGTTGACCTCCCCGTCTGCGACTCCCGGCAAGATACAGGCGAGGCCTCTATCTATCAGCGATCCTCCTCAAACGTGAGAAGAACACACCACTCTTCCCCTCCTCCCTGCCATCCCCAGGGAGGGGAAAGAGACAGACAGAAATGTATTTACATGCTTTTATTTCTGTCTTTGCAGCAGTACAGGGAAACACGTCTGCACTCTCTTTACACCAACAGCAGAGAGAGAAAACTCCACCCCTGTACTTCCAGTACAGGTCAGATGACATTTTGAGCTAACATCCGGTGCTCAGCACAGTGAATAGACTGTCCCTTTGTTCCCAAGGTACAGTCCCAAACATCAACATCCTGTTTGGCTTTCCAGCCAGCTGCAGCTCGCTGCATTGCTCCTTTTTCGTAACAGAGTTCTGTGAGGATTGCCAAAGAAGGGAGTCAGGCTGTACCCTAGCCAAAGGCCAGGCGGGACAGCTCTGTCTTGCAGGCCCTGCGGAAAGATGTCAAGTCCCGCAGAGCCCTAGTCTCTTGTGACAAAGCGTTCCACCAGATTGGAGCCACAGCCAAAAAAGCCCTGGCTCTAGTTGAGGCCAGCCTTATCAGGCTGGCTTAAGCCTATCTAAGCACATTTTGAAAATTAATCTCTAGTGTTACACTCACCCCATTTCTCCAAGCAGTAAGAAGTTCCAAGGAGCATTGCATACCCAGATTTAGTTTAGTTTCCATTAGAAGCAGGTCTCTGGAGACTTAATGGTATTTTGTAATATTTGCATTCATTTGCAAAATTACAGGCTGAGCATAGATGGAGACACCGTTGGGATTATATCATTATTTATCAATGAATGAGTTGCCTTTTACATGCATGTGAAGGTGATTACGGTCATATAATAAAAACAGCTAAAAAGTCTACTGTTTTAAAACTGGAAGGCTGAAAAACAAAAGAATAGTGGGTGAAATGTACTATAGTAATTAATTAATTAATTAATAACACTAAAAAACACCTAAGGCAGAGGTGGCTTCATCCAGGTGCAAAAACTTGTCAAAACAAAAATATTCCATATCCACCTGTCCTATAGTATAGGCACCACTAACCAGCATTTTCAGAGCCCTGGGACTTTGTTCACACCATCTGATTTTTAACCTTGGGCTCAGGAAAGCAGGTCACCTGATGCCATGCGATTGGCAGGTGGGCACCACTGCCCACTTGCCAAATTTGACCTCTATCTGTGTGTGTAGCTTCAGGTAGGTAGCCGTGTTGGTCTGACACAGTCGAAATAAATTTAAAAATTGTCCAGTAGCACCTTATAGAGACCAACTAAGTTTGTTCTGGGTATAAGCTTTCGTGTGCAT